TTGGGTCTCACACTCACTCTCACCCGGCTGGGTCCGTAAGTGAGGTCGTGGCCCACGTGCCAGTGTCACCACCGTTGGGGCTGATCGATCCGTCCAAATCCAAAACGCTAGCGGACAGCGCTACCGTCCACCGCCGCAGATCAAATCTGTGCTAGGAAAATGCCTGCCCCATCTATGTGGGTCGGTCGCCGGGCGTGGCTGACAGTCCCACCAATAATGCATCCCGAACTTGATTAGACTGCACAACGAGTGAGCAGATACTCTCCAAATTCTTGAATTTCAGGGAGCTGGTGGATTGCCAAACAACCCCTGAGATTCAAGCTATTTAATCAAGCTCTCCTCGTTAAACAAGTCTGGCGGATCATCACGGTCCCGAACTCGCTATGTGCTAGAGCTCTAAAGGCACGGCATTTCCCGGAGATAGATATCATGGCTGCACCTTGTGCTGGAGTAGCCAAGTTGGTACACACGTCAGTGAAGTGTTATCATATAACGAGCCAGGAATCCTTAATTCATGATGTTGAGGAGGGCCCAATATAGGAGGATTTGTTACTGTTCGTACTCCAAATACAAAGGAATAGCCAAGCTTGGGGAGGGCTTGGGCCCTGGCTCGCCACCCACTGCCTCCGCCACCGCATATGACTGTGGCGGTCTGTGTGTGCCGGTGCTGTACGTCAAGTTCCAAGAGCTCCAGAATTCTTATCCTAGTTCTCTCTCTCAAAAAAAAATAAGAATTCTTATCCTAGCTCGGGCCGCACAGGGGGCTCCCAGACTGGGCCGCCCAACAGCGCCCAACAGTGCAATTTTTCAAAAAAAAAGAAAAAAATCATGCACGTGTGAGGGATCAATCCGGGGACATCAGGCTGGTGAAAGATTGACGCTAGTTGATGAGCTTCACTATCTAAGTGGGCAGAGTGGGGTATAAGAACAATAGACATCAGGCTGGTGAAAGATCGACAAATTTAAACATTGTTTTATCAAATGCAATCTTTTTGAAAGTGGATACTTTTTTTAACATGAACATTTTCAAATTCGTAACAAATTTCTTAAAACCAACAATTTGTGATAACAAGAACATTTTTTGGGAATCTCGAATATTTTTTGAAAACATGATCATTTTTTGAAGCTATGCATAGATTTCTATAAGGCGAACATTTTTTGCATCCGTGAAAAATTCTTGAAACCCCAAACAAAATTTGAAAATACGAACATTTTTGTTAACAATTTCGAAAAATCATGAGATTCTGAACATTTTTCCAAAACTCGAACAGTTTTAAAAAAAACACAAACATCTTTTGGAATTTCAAACTTTTTTAAAAAAACGAGCAATTTCTGAACTTTGACGAATTTTGAAATTCTGTATATTTTTTGAATTTACAGAAAAAAACGAAACTATTGAAAGGGGGGAGCTGGACAAAAAAAAAAACCGTACCAAAACCTTCTAGGAGGATCCCAAAACCGGTCAGGAACCTTCTGAAAGGTTCCCAAAATTGGGATCTCTCTTCCACGTATTCTAGTTAATGACACAATTATCAGAGAAATTGTTGGAGGGGCTCAAGATTTCACTAGTTGTAATTTTATTTTCGAAAGTAGAGATATGATAAAGAGACTCACAATTTAGTTAACTCTTCTAGTTCTTTAGAGGCGGGTCGCGACTTGTGGTTGCGAGTACCCCATGCCCCAATTGTTTGTAAACCTCGTACTTGATTAATAAAGAAGGTTTACCACTAAAAAAAGGCATCGTGCATGGTTTTGGGAAGGCGGTTTAGCGTTTTACAATCATTTTTTCTAAGTATAATAGTTTATTTATGATTTTTTAAATAGACGTTGAATATTTTTTATTATACGTTGAACTTTTAAAACACATTTGGATCAATTTTCAAATATATGTTGAATATTTTATTACCCATTAATTTTTAAAAAATTCATGAACAATTTTAAATCCATGAACACCTTTTGAGCTTCATGAATTTTTTTCTTGATTTTTTAAGATTCATTAACATTTTTTAGAGCAAGGACATTTTTTGGGAATTATTCTTTTTGAATCATGATTTTTTAAAATTAATTGACATTTTTAAGGAATTGTGATTTTGATATAGACGTCGTACACTTTTAAGGAATCGTGACATTTGCAAAGATTTGTATGGCCTGGACCCTCCCTAGCCTGGAGGTTGTTCGGTTGATGCCCTGAATAAGCCTGGGGTGCAGCATTTTATGGTCATTAGCCTGGCTGAAGCACTAGGCATGGTTGTTTGCCTGGCCCAAGCGCTCATATTCGGTCATCTAGCGCTAGCTTGGGATGCTAACATCATTTTCCATTGGCCACTGTCCGATCAAGTCATATGCCAATAATTTTGCATGGGGCTACCTTCATTTAATTAGCAATAGACTGTAAATTATGTTTTTGCCTGGCCTTAGCATCGTTTCTTTCTAGGGTCATCAAACTCCTCTCTCTCCTCTTAATTACCCTGCGACATCAGATTTTTAGCCTATTTGGTTGCCCCTGTATAAGATACGTGCTCGTAAACAAGTCGGCGAGCAGACTTCAGAAATGTTCTTAGTTTAGTTCTCTTAAAGCATGCTCGTAATTTTCAGTGCAGGCTCCAACTTTGCATGGAAATGTAGAAAGAGATAACTAATAACAGAGCATCATGTCCCCGTAAAAAAAAGGAACACATATTAATTTGGTGAACTTTACACCATTTCTGAAGTCTATGCCCTGTGTTTGCTGCAGCTGATGTTCGTGGACCAGAGAAAGGAGAGAACGGAGCTGCTGCGAGAACTACTCAGGAGCGGAGCCGGCATCGATCCCCTCCCGGCTCTCACTCAGGTCAGCCAGCCGCACATTCGAAGCAACATCGATCCATCATCACTTTCCTTTGGATGTTTTTTTCTGAGAAATAACATGCGTGGTTCGATTGTGCTATGCAGAAAACGCTGGTTCTGTGGGGAGACAAGGACCAGGTGTTCCCCGTCGATCTTGGCTACAAACTGCACAGGTATTGGAAAAAACAGGACAGTACTCTAGCTTCCATGAATTCTCTATACTGACGACATTGCTTTTCATTTCAAGAAGATGTATGACAATGGCTATGTTTTTCTGTTGGTGAACGCAGGCATCTAGGCAAGAAATCGAGGCTAGAGATAATCAAGGACGCAGGGCACGCGCTGCAGTTGGAGGGGGCCGACAAGGTCAACAGTTTCATCAAGTCGTTCTTCCTAGATGAACGGGATGAGCCAGAATTCGGCACAACCTGAAACTGAAGCCTGCTCAGAGCATCGGTACTCGCTGGAGAAAATACACGAACTATCCCAGAGGCCCGAATGGTGTACTACATTATAATCTTTTAGGTATGTATAATCATGTAATGTTATGTGTAAAAAAGAGCTACTATGATCTAAATGTCCGCTCAGAAGATTAAAAAAAAAGGAGAGAGATAGGGTGTGATCTGAATGCCTCCGGCCATTCAAAATGGGGTGGAATGGAATGGTGGCTCTGAACTTTGTGTTGTGTTATGTTTTTGTTAACAAGTGCGAGTTTACACGTTTTACGCCGTATGTTTACCGCATTACCGTGTTTCTACTACATTGTAGAGGGTGTTTACTGGTCATAAACATAGTAAATGCTTACTCCGTAGTCAATCCACAATAAATATTTACTCTTATAAAAAACCGAGTTGATGATGATGATGTGCCTGCCATCTCTCCATATTTTAAAGATAAGGCCTCGCTTCGTTATCTCCCACAACCTCATTGCTGAGCAATTAAAAAAAAGTCTCTGAAACAATCTAGCATGGTGGCCGCTGCCGCCTGCCGGCGCCGTCCATTCTCGTGCCTCCGTCCAGTCCGACCACCAATCGCCACCACGCCCCACTCCTCCTCACCTTATTTCTCATCTTTCTCGAGATATCATTTTTTTTATGAAATTCTCGAGATACTAGTTTTCCGATAAAATTCTTGAGATACCATTTTTCTGATAAGATTCTTGAGATACCATTTTTCCGATAAAATTTCTGAGATATTATTAGTTTTTACACATGGGATTACTCCTGCATGGGTCAATCACAACAGGTGTTTTGTAAGAAAATGCATCTTCATGTTTCGATGCAATGCATGGGCATCTTGCTAGTATGCAATCTTATAAACACTTTTGAAATCAATATTGATGCTCGGCTCGAATTTGGGCGGGTTTGCATGCAACAGCAACTTTGCAGGGTTGTTCAGGAGCGCGTCTACGCCACGCCAAGCAAGAGTTCTTCTAGAAAGCAATGCCCTAGCTGGAACAAGAGTACTACTACTACATAAAGCTGTTTGTTTCAATGTGGTTGTCTGCCGCCCTGTCTCACAGACTGTTTCTGTTCTTTCCCGTGGCCGCAAGCGCACGTCGCGTCAAGGCTTCAGTTCAGGCCGCATCTTCTTAATCGTTGGGTGGTTCTTGCCTACGCCAATATATACTTTGATGCCGATTTTGGGGTTATTTTGGTGCAACCTGCCCACTTGATCCATACAAAACCTCACATTTTGTACCGCACGCGAACAACTCATTCGGTCCTCCCGTTATTCTTCTTCTTCTTCTTCTTCTTCTTCTTTTCCGAGTGGGTGCAGTGCTCCCTTCCGGTCAAAAGAAACGATGCCGGAATCCTCCCCTTGACGGCTACACTTCTCGTCTGAATCCTAATCTAGCTCAACTTGCATCTGTTTAACAGGGACATACTCCTCCATCACACAGCGTGGCGAGTCCAGATTCCGCTGAGATGCCACCGAGGCCCCATTGAAAGCGCCACCATAGCCGAATTTTCGGGTGGTGGTATACTCAAGGTCCACCCAACCACCGGCCTTCTTCCCTTGCAATCCCGGGGTGCTGCGAGCCCTCCGTTTCTCCCACCAGAACGAACGCCCGCCTTTAAGCTAAGGGGAGCTCCACCAGCACATCGCTATACATCACTGGCGTTCTCACTCTTGATCGATCAGGGGACACGGCCGGCTAGCAGCTTCGAGCCATGGGGGCCGGCCTCAGCCTCGTGCCGCTCATCGACTACTTCGCCCGCCGCGAGTTCCTCGCCGCCGGCCTCCGCCCCCACTCCGTCACGCTCCCCTACCCCGACGGCGGCGACGGCGGGTCCTCGACCTGCACCGTGCACTACTGGGCGCCGGCGGGGGAGCCGCGGCTGCCGCCACTGCTGCTCATCCACGGCTTCGGGCCTCGGGCCACCTGGCAGTGGCGCTGTCAGGTGGGGCCGCTGTCCCGCCAGTTCCACGTCATCGTCCCGGACCTGCTCGGCTTCGGCGGCAGCTCCTGGGACTCGCCCTCGGCGCCGCCGCCGTCGGAGGCCACGCAGGCCGCGGCGCTCGTGGCGCTGCTGGACTCGGTGGAGGGGCTCAAAGGCAAGCGGGTGGCCGTGGCGGGCACGAGCTACGGCGGGTTCGTGGCCTACTGGCTGGCGCGCGCGGCGGGGCCCCGGAGGGTGGGACCCGTGGTGATCGCGAGCTCCGACCTGCTCAAGACGGCGGCCGACGACCGCGCGTTCCTAAAGAGGGCCGGCGAGGGGTGGCGCGGCGCGCACGAGCTGCTCCTGCCGGCCGAGCCCGCCGCCATGAGGAGGCTGATGGAGATGGCCGTGTACCGCCCGCCGCCGGCCATGATGACGCCGGACTTCGTCCTCCGGGACTTCATCCAGGTGCGTGCGTGTACAGAACTACAGATGCCACTTGAGCTCTGGTTAGCCGCCATCTTTTATTTGTCAGAAGGTGACCAACGGCCTGCAAGTCATTATTCTTTAGTCATCATCGGTCTGCATTGTGCATTTGGCAGACGATTTTTAGGAGTGATAATTCAACATTTCAACGTTTTCCATATGAGGATAACTCTAGTTACCGAAGATGAGCATGTGTTGATCTAAAAATCTTCCAATCCAAAACAAAAAAGAATAGTTGGAGCCCCTTTTTTTGCGAATAAATAGTTGGAGCCTTCGACTGACAGCAGAACTTCCAAGCGCAACGCTGAACCTGACACCTCCCGGCTCCCGCCCAACAATCAATCAAATCAGTAGTAATGTGTAGTATAACAGTTCCATCCTCCATGCCAGATTTCGTAAGCATTTATAGTTCCGATCTACTCCTACAGCAC